TGTAGTAAAAAAATAATAAAGCTATAAAAATGAACGGATCGGTGAAAATCTGAGAGGGTGAGACTGAGAGGTTCTTTAATTAGAGCTAATGATTAAATGAGACCCACTAAATGTACTAAATAAACCGGACTGCTAGCAAGGAATCGAGAGTAGGAATAAAAATAAAAGCGGAATAAATTTTAAGATAATGAAACAGAAACTGAAAGCTAAAATATATACCGTTCTAGAATGCCTCCGCAAACTATTGCTCCTTTGTAATATGCACGCGTTAGTAAGTGTAGTAAAAAAATAATAAAGCTATAAAAATGAACGGATCGGTGAAAATCTGAGAGGGTGAGACTGAGAGGTTCTTTAATTAGAGCTAATGATTAAATGAGACCCACTAAAGGTACTAAATTAACCGGACTGCTAGCAAGGAATCGAGAGTAGGAATAAAAATAAAAGCGGAATAAATTTTAAGATAATGAAACAGAAACTGAAAGCTAAAATATATACCGTTCTAGAATGCCTCCGCAAACTATTGCTCCTTTGTAATATGCACGTGTTAGTAAGTGTAGTAAAAAAATAATAAAGCTATAAAAATGAACGGATCGGTGAAAATCTGAGAGGGTGAGACTGAGAGGTTCTTTAATTAGAGCTAATGATTAAATGAGACCCACTAAATGTACTAAATAAACCGGACTGCTAGCAAGGATTCGAGAGTAGGAATAAAAATAAAAGCGGAATAAATTTTAAGATAATGAAACAGAAACTGAAAGCTAAAATATATACCGTTCTAGAATGCCTCCGCAAACTATTGCTCCTTTGTAATATGCACGCGTTAGTAAGTGTAGTAAAAAAATAATAAAGCTATAAAAATGAACGGATCGGTGAAAATCTGAGAGGGTGAGACTGAGAGGTTCTTTAATTAGAGCTAATGATTAAATGAGACCCACTAAATGTACTAAATAAACCGGACTGCTAGCAAGGAATCGAGAGTAGGAATAAAAATAAAAGCGGAATAAATTTTAAGATAATGAAACAGAAACTGAAAGCTAAAATATATACCGTTCTAGAATGCCTCCGCAAACTATTGCTCCTTTGTAATATGCACGCGTTAGTAAGTGTAGTAAAAAAATAATAAAGCTATAAAAATGAACGGATCGGTGAAAATCTGAGAGGGTGAGACTGAGAGGTTCTTTAATTAGAGCTAATGATTAAATGAGACCCACTAAAGGTACTAAATTAACCGGACTGCTAGCAAGGAATCGAGAGTAGGAATAAAAATAAAAGCGGAATAAATTTTAAGATAATGAAACAGAAACTGAAAGCTAAAATATCATTAAAAAAAAGATATGATAACTACAATTTAATATTCATGTTGCCATGGAAAAATGTTCTGTTGTTAGGCTAATCTTAGTAATCTAGGCTCTAGCTGATTGTAGAACTTAATGAAGTTTATTAATCACGCGGGTAAATTTGAACTATAATGGACGTGGTTATTGAGTTATAGACTATAATTGAGCTTGTATAATGTTATAGTTATACACGCGCCAAGTTAACCAAGATGATGTTATTATTACCCTAGAGTGCACCATGTTCCATGTGTGTACACTATTCTCCGTAAGACTGTGGAGCTGAGTGTGCACGTGTTATTTTTATGACACGTGCACACTCCACATTGACACGTGGTTACTGTCCGCTGTGTGCAACTTAACCCTCATGGTGAGGTACGTTGAAGAACTCGTCATCTTAGGAGAATTAGGGCGCGTGGCTTGAATCTGATGCTTGAATCTAAAGCTTGAAGCTGAGGCTTGAAGCTGAAGCTTGAAGCTGAGGCTTTAATATGAAGCTATAGCTTAATATAAGTGTGGCTCAGACACACAATATACTATCAAAGTTCAAACTAAAAATTATGCTAGCATTAGCACTGGGTGTTAACTTTACAAACTGAGAAATAGATTCGAAAAATATGTTAAATGTTGGTCATTTTACCATAATAAAAATTTGTTGATTATTGCGATAATTCTCCAAAATTGTCGCGATAATCGATGATGATTTTTGGGAAATTATCGCCGATAATATCGGTTGGCAACCCTAATCTTGATTCTTGATAGCTTTGAGCCACTTAATTTCGTGGCTTTCAAGTGTCACCATACTATAACTACATTAGTGAATTTTATAAATTCATAAGGTAAGACCTACAGGAGGACATGACAATTAGGGTTAAGTTTGACCAAATTTCCCGAGCTTACCAGGTTCTACTGTGTCAGGAGCTGTTGGGACCCTTAATGTAAATAGTCCACCCCGGGTTTGACCAGGTGACATTTAGATCTACCGCTGTAGTATAGGTTGTTATCTATGACTATCATACGTTCAATAATCACTGTTCTAACTTTCTAACAGTGACCTGTTACTCTGGTCGGCACCCCTGCTGCATCTACATGAGATCAAATGACTAGACTAGAAACTGAGAGGGTGCACGTGAACGCTAACAGGGTGCATGTCAGCACATGACCCATGAAGCAAATTCTTAGTTGCCTGTTTAAATTCCGTCCTCATTTATCGTTTTAGTTGAAAATTCCATTTTTAATCAATCTTCAGTCAGAACTTTAAACCATGGGGAAGCGATCCATAATTGGCATCCGTACGGCATATTTCAACTTATGATAATGTTCGCTTAGACCTATTGACGGGGCTTGTTTTACATTTTCTTGTCCTGCTGGTTTGATGAGCCTCACAGAGCTAGCCTCATAGAGCTACTAGCTCTATGAGGCTAGCTCTGTGAGGCTGGTCACTATACCAACAATTTATTACATATTTTTTACACGCTAGCCTAACCAGATGATGGTCATATTGATTATCATGACATACCTTATCGGACCTTATATGGACGGACATTAAATGAACGGACATAATTATGAACGGACATTAATATGAACGCGTGAAGTGGTTTTATGTCGGGAACATAAGTTCCAAATTTGAGGTGAAATGGATAAAAACTCTAGGAGAAGATAGATTTTGAAGTCAAAAATTGGAGGTTTTCAGGAGAGGCAAAAAACTGTTTTTTATGTTATGTGATTTTTGAGTATTTTGCCTTTATTTGTATATTTTTCAAAGTTTAACTGCTGAAATAACACACAAACAATAAAAACGTAGCTTATCGTAGTTTACAGTTGTAATGGCATCAATATTTCTGCCCTCCATTATCGATTTATCAAAAAAATGAGGTTATTTGAAGAATTGGTTAACCTCATTTATAAAAAAAAAGTAAAATAGCTACAGACAAATGAGTCCCTGTGACCTTAACTTACGGCACAATATCATAGTTGTCATATTCTGGACAAAAAGTTCGAAGTGGACTTTAACTTGGACGGACCTTGGCCTTAAATGGACGGACTTTATTTGAACAGACATCAAGATGAACGTTAGGGCCTCCAGCGTTCAATTAATGTCCGTTCAAATAAGGTCCGATAAGGTAAATGTTATTTATAATGAATCTGGTTACTACATTAAAACCTCAATTTAACGTGGAATTTGGACGTGTCACAGTTCAAATTTGAGTGACCCTGTCAGGCTGTCAATAGCTGTCTAGGAGCTAGTCGGCTCGTAAATGTAAAAACCGCCGGATATGGCCAGTGCCGGGGTTTCTCATAATAATTATAGTTCCATACCTCTGTAGCTATTCCCACGATAGAAATCCTATTTTGATTCACGGCCGTGATGAATGGATTTCCAGTCGATTTCATTCGAAGTCGAATCACTTCGGACTTATTTTGATAGCTTTGAGCTATTGTAAACCAATTGCTCCTCTTTTCACTATAACTATCGAACGATTAACGTACTATAAAAGTTCAATAATAACTTCTGCTTGAGCGAGCATGCTGTCTCTTTTACACAAAAACTCAGTTACAGTCTTGAACAATCTTCCCAGCAAAGCTTACCGGCTGGCAGTGGCCGTGTTACTATAGAGGTGGTCGTTTTTCAATAGCACGTGTGTCAGCGCGCGTAACGTCATGTTCACTGCATGATCAGTTTTGTCAGTTTTCGATACGAGATCGGGACAGGTTCTCTAAACAAACAAACAAAAAAACAGCACTGGGTTTAAACTTTACAAACTGAGAAATAGATTGTCACTGTTCTAACAGTTACTCTGGTCGGCACCTCTGCTGCATCTAAAACAGATCAAATGAATAGAAACTGAGAGGGTGCACGTGAACGCTAACAGGGTGCATGTCAGCACATGACCCATGAAGCAAATTTTTAGTTGCCTGTTTAAATTCCTTCCTCATTTATCTTTTTAGTTGAAAATTCCATTTTTATCAATCTTCAGTCAGAACTTTAAACCAGGGGGAAGCGATCCATAATTGGCATCCGTACGGCATATTTCAACTTATGTTAAAGTTCGCTGAGACCTATTGGCGGGGCATGTTTTACATTTTCTTCTTTATACACACGTTCATCAAGTTATTCTGTTACACACAATCTTCGCTTCTTTGTTAACAATCGCCGCGTGATGCTATGGAGAATATTTCGAGACTAATGCTTGGGCCTTGGGGTGACTCAGGTGAGGAATGATTGCGAGTGTTCTCTTTGTGATTGTGTTCCAATGTATAACAATTTTGTTAAGTTCGTTAAGCTTATAGGAAAGACTCGGATCACTCATTCAATTTTTTTATTGCTCATTATGCTTCTCAAAATCGTTACGCATAGAGCACATTTTTTTCTGAGATTAATTGTAACTTTAATTCAATTCCCCTACTTTAAGTTTAACTCTTCCAATACGTTGCAGTTGGCACAAAATACTATTACACTCAGGTATATTTAAACCTGTCTTGACCATGCAACGAGATACGACAAATAATTAGGTATCTAAAAACATTTAACACTGTTCGCACGTGTTTATACCTGGCCAAAAATAACATCAGTTTTAAATATGCAGTTAAACCTCTTGCTATACAGTATAAAATCGAACGAATTTTGTATTGTGGTCACATACATTTCACAATACAGAACTGTCCTAACCAGTAGTTTCAGAAAGGATACACACACGGTTTGAAAATCTGATCTCTGCTCGAATAATTGGAAAAGAAGCATGGAAAAAGTCTTGCTAACTTATCTTGTTCTCGTTTTAGTCGGGCCACAAATCGCAAGAACAACAGGTTAGACTACATCACTGATCACTACATTGTTGGTTGATTCTAGGCTTCTCAATATCTAGTTAAATTATATTATACATCTATATAACAAATCATTTTTTATCAATTATCTAGACATTATCTAGATAATTGATAAAAAATATTATCTACATAAAACAGATTATTTTTAGGTTTGATATTTAATCATTAACTCAGTTTGTCAATATAATATAAGCTTGCGAGTAAATGAATAATACCTGTCCAGTTAAAGCCAAGTTATAGCAGGTCGATGGTGAACCTTTATAATGCCGTTTATTAGAAAAATTTGCAGACAATATCGCAATAAACTATAAAGAGTGTCGAAATAACAACACCGATTATTGATAGCCAGTCATCAACCTCTTCGATAGAAACATCAATATTTAAGCACACAGCATGACAACAAACCATGCCTTCGAGGATTCAGGGAGATTCAATGGTGCATTGCGTAACCTAATTTCTTGATTTGTCTAAAACTTTAATAACAGGAGTAGAGTAAAGAAGTGGCACGATGACAATTATAAATGTGGACCTATAAATAACCCTCTCTCTGATGGGACTCCAGCTCAGTGTAATCCTGACCACCCAGCTGCTGTTCTCCACAGGGGTGGTACGGGAGGACACCACTATATTGCTTATGTATCACGTGCATTGACTACAGGAGTGAGTAGAGAATTAATAAAACTTAAATGACAGGAGAAACAAAGTGGAGAGAAGACGGGCGATGTGGTCCTGATTACCTTCTCTCTGATGGGACTCCAGCTCAGTGTAATCCTGATGTTGAGTACAGCTGCTGTTCTCCACAGGGGTATTGCGGGAGAACACCAGATCACTGCTTGTGTCAAACCTGCATTGACTACAAACGTGAGTAGTATTAATAACACTAGCAGGAACCCGTATAACCCTAAAATGGTGTCAAGACTCAAGAGACTAAAATTATTATTACCTATTTAATTCTCGTTTTTGACACCACTTGGGGGTCCAAATTTTGGGCTCTAAAATTCCTATTCCTTGGCCGATTTTTTATTTTTATCATGCTGATTTGGAGGCCATTAAAGCATTTGACCCAGTCAAAAAAGTTTCAGTTGTATATCTTTTACGGTTTTTGCGGAAAGTCGCGTTAAAGTTGATGCCATGGTGTCAGTAAAATGGCACGGATAATTTCCAATTTACCCTGCCCTGGCCTTGTTTACAGATTCCGATTTACTGCGTTCCAATTTACTGCAAACGCAGATTTACCGTGCTCCAATTAACTGCAAACGCAGATTTACCGCAAACCCCAATTTACCTCACTATCAAGCCAACGTTTATCGAGAACCTAATTTTATTCATTATTAACGTTTCTAAAAATAATAACAAATGGATTAACTCCAGAGTGTGTTGATAAAGCGGATGAGGATGGATTAGACTACAGGGGAACTGTATCTGTCACAGTATCAGGAAACGTCTGCCAGAGATGGGACTCTCAATCACCTAATGAACACAGTGCAACTGCTGAGAGGTAAGTTTTCTTGGTGCTTCTAAGGCACAACAGGTATAAACTAGTCTCACCCACAGGCGGCCACAATATGGCATAACCCAGATTTATATTTATTCTTATCCAGATTATTCGGAATTTGGAAGATGATAGTTGAGACATGTACTCTATTTAATAGAGCGTCCTAAATCACTTTACACCCAAACTTCGAAATGTTTCTAAAAGGGCTCTCGACAGAAGCCAAATTGTTAGTTACGATTCACAACACTACCTACTTTAGGAAAATAGCTTATTACAAAATCATTTTCAGAAAACCTGATTCAGGACTGCATGAGAACTATTGCAGAAATCCAGACGGGTAAGTCTTCTATATCTGATATATCTGCGGTAGTGTTCCATAATCATTTTTATCATGTCGAGCACAAGGTATGGGCACAAACATTTATTGTAGATTTAAGTAAAATCTACAATAAAACTGCAATGAAGGGACTTTGGAATATAAATGATCTGTGAAACTTATTTTTACTTTTAGGAATTCTCCATTATAACATGTGTCATTATTTTCCTCAGTGAATCAGGCGCCTGGTGTTATAATGGTGAGGGAACTGTGCCTCGATGGGAGTACTGTGATATACCTATATGCGCTGGTAAGCATTTTGATCTTCAAACTAAATCATAAATACTCATAATTTTATAGCAGAGATCATGTGTGGCGTGTGTTTATAATGTCTATACTCTCAGCTCCGAAATTCGAGAGGTTGCGTGTGGGTGCAGTTACTTCACTAATACGACAGAATTAAACGTCATTTGACAAACTGCGGGAAAAAATGTTTATGTGCTCCAATTGTAAAATTAAAGCTGACCTTTTATTTGCCCAGTTGACGGAGGCTGGTCTGAATTCTCGGAATGGTCTGAGTGTTCGGTTGCATGCGGAGGAGGACGTCAAAGTAGAAGCCGAAGTTGTTCCAACCCTGCTCCAGAAAATGGAGGGGCTGATTGCGATGGAGGCGATCGGCAATCTATGGACTGCAATGCTGACCCTTGCCCCGTTGACGGAGGATGGTCTGACTTTTCTGATTGGTCTGAGTGCTCGGTTGCATGCGGAGGAGGACGTAAAAGTAGAAGCCGAAGTTGTTCCAACCCTGCTCCAGAAAATGGAGGGGCTGATTGCGATGGAGGCGATTTGCAATCTATGGACTGCAATGCTGACCCTTGCCCCGTTGACGGAGGATGGTCTGACTTTTCTGATTGGTCTGAGTGCTCGGTTGCATGCGGAGGAGGACGTAAAAGTAGAAGCCGAAGTTGTTCCAACCCTGCTCCACAAAATGGAGGGGCTGATTGCGATGGAGGCGATTTGCAATCTATGGACTGCAATGCTGACCCTTGCCCCCTCGTTGACGGTAAAGTATGAACTTCTTACTTACTTTTACTTGAAAAGGTCTCCTCTTAGTCGTTGGAGTGGCCTGCGCCACACAGTAACACTAACTCCTTTTTCCGGTGTATTAGACCTCTCCAATGTACCCTGTTTGTTGCTTGTTGTTCTGCATGTCAAATTATTTTGACATCGTGATCAGCTTATCGAGACGAAACTTTTAGTACTAATATTTTAAGATTTAAAGGAAAATAATTTTCAAAATTTTAAAATCTGAACACAAGCATGTGAAATTCTGAAAAAATGTTTGAAAAATTTGGTGCTTTAAATATTATAATTTTGGTACCAAAAGTTGCAATTGACAACGTTCATTACGATCCTGTAAGAATTATTTGAAAATATTCCATATTTTTGGAGTTATAGGCATTTTAAGCAATAAATTACCTATTTTTGTCCTTATGTATGAGTTGGCACAGAATTTTTTGTCTCTGATTTTGATAAATTTGGTACCAAAAGTTGCCTCTAAGTTTAAGAATTGCACACTGGTAAAGTATGAACTGCATGAATATACATACCTTATCGGACCTTATTTGGACGGACATTAAATGAACGGACATAATTATGAACAGACATTAATATGATGGCTAGAAGGCATTCAAAATCATCAAAAATCCGAATTTTTTCACCTTTTAATATGTTTTTTTTAATTTTAGTAAATGATTTTTAAATCCATTATTCATACAGTAAGCAATAAAAGCAGTCGTTAACTTTAAGCAGTAAAAATGTTAAAATATTTGTACATGATCAGTGTCTTATATCACATATCAACTTTATCAAATGGGTTCGAAATGGAAAAATTTTTGAAAAAAATTCAACGGACTTTAACTTTGACGGACCTTACATGAATGTACTTTATTTGAACGAACATTAAGATACACGCTAGGGCCTCCAGCGTTCAAGTAATGTCCGTCCAAATAAGGTCCGATAAAGTAATAATTCTTTCACAACGATGTGAATATTCAAATCTCAATATTTTCAAAAACACCTGACGCCATTTTTAACTAGTAACATGTTTTAATTCTTTAGAATCAAAATTTTGTTGTGAAATTCCACGACTGATTTAACTAAGAAATTCGATAACGCAATTCCACTAATTGTGTTGGTCTTCTTGGTTATTACCCAAAGGAGAACAGTAAGAACGGTCTTATCTAACAAATTTTAGATCAAATGGCTGCCAAGTTGCTTTTTCTCTCTCTCTCTCAAATGGATTAAATGCCAGAGATTTCCAATTTACCCCGCCCTGGCCTTGTTTACAGATTCCGATTTACTGCGTTCCAATTTACTGCAAACGCAGATTTACCGTGCTCCAATTAACTGCAAACGCAGATTTACCGCAAACCCCAATTTACCTCACTATGAAGCCAACGTTTATCAAGAAACTAATTTTATTCATTATTAACGTTTCTAAAAATAATAACAAATGGATTAACTCCAGAGTGTGTTGATAAAGCGGATGAAGATGGATTAGACTACAGGGGAACTGTATCTGTCACAGTATCAGGGAACGTCTGCCAGAGATGGGACTCTCAATCACCTAATGAACACATTGCAACTGCTGAGAGGTAAGTTTTCTTGGTGCTTCTAAGGCACATTAGGTATAAACTAGTCTCACCCACAGGCGGCCACAATATGGCATAATCCAGATTTATATTTATTCTTATCCAGATTATTCGGAATTTGGAAGATGAGAGTTGAGACATGTACTCTATTTAATAGAGCGTCCTAAATCACTTTACACCCAAACTTCGAAATGTTTCTAAAAGGGCTCTCGACAGAAGCCAAATTTTTAGTTACGATTCACAACACTACCTACTTTAGGAAAATAGCTTATTACAAAATCATTTTCAGAAAACCTGATTCAGGACTGCAATGGAACTATTGCAGAAATCCAGACGGGTAAGTCTTCAATATCTGATATCCGCGGTAGTGTTCCATAATCATTTTTATCATGTCGAGCACAAGGTAGGGGCACAAACATTTATTGCAGATTTAAGTAAAATCTACAATAAAACTGCAATGAAGGGGCTTTGGAATATAAATGATCTGTGAAATTTCTTTTTACTTTTAAAAATTCTTCATTATAACATGTGTCGTCATTTTCTTCAGTTCAAATGGCGCCTGGTGTTATAATGGTGAGGGAACTGTGCCTCGATGGGAGTACTGTGATATACCTATATGCGCTAGTAAGCATTTTGATCTTCAAACTAAATCATAAATACTCATAATTTTATAGCAGAGATCATGTGTGGCGTGTGTTTATAATGTCTATACTCTCAGCTCCGAAATTCGAGAGGTTGCGTGTGGGTGCAGTTACTTCACTAATACGACAGAATTAAACGTCATTTGACAAACTGCGGGAAAAAATGTTTATGTGCTCCAATTGTAAAATTAACGCTGACCTTTTATTTGCCCAGTTGACGGAGGCTGGTCTGAATTCTCGGAATGGTCTGAGTGTTCGGTTGCATGCGGAGGAGGACGTCAAAGTAGAAGCCGAAGTTGTTCCAACCCTGCTCCAGAAAATGGAGGGGCTGATTGCGATGGAGGCGATCGGCAATCTATGGACTGCAATGCTGACCCTTGCCCCGTTGACGGAGGATGGTCTGACTTTTCTGATTGGTCTGAGTGCTCGGTTGCATGCGGAGGAGGACGTAAAAGTAGAAGCCGAAGTTGTTCCAACCCTGCTCCAGAAAATGGAGGGGCTGATTGCGATGGAGGCGATTTGCAATCTATGGACTGCAATGCTGACCCTTGCCCCGTTGACGGAGGATGGTCTGACTTTTCTGATTGGTCTGAGTGCTCGGTTGCATGCGGAGGAGGACGTAAAAGTAGAAGCCGAAGTTGTTCCAACCCTGCTCCACAAAATGGAGGGGCTGATTGCGATGGAGGCGATTTGCAATCTATGGACTGCAATGCTGACCCTTGCCCCCTCGTTGACGGTAAAGTATGAACTTCTTACTTACTTTTACTTGAAAAGGTCTCCTCTTAGTCGTTGGAGTGGCCTGCGCCACACAGTAACACTAACTCCTTTTTCCGGTGTATTAGACCTCTCCAATGTACCCTGTTTGTTGCTTGTTGTTCTGCATGTCAAATTATTTTGACATCGTGATCAGCTTATCGAGACGAAACTTTTAGTACTAATATTTTAAGATTTAAAGGAAAATAATTTTCAAAATTTTAAAATCTGAACACAAGCATGTGAAATTCTGAAAAAATGTTTGAAAAATTTGGTGCTTTAAATATTATAATTTTGGTACCAAAAGTTGCAATTGACAACGTTCATTACGATCCTGTAAGAATTATTTGAAAATATTCCATATTTTTGGAGTTATAGGCATTTTAAGCAATAAATTACCTATTTTTGTCCTTATGTATGAGTTGGCACAGAATTTTTTGTCTCTGATTTTGATAAATTTGGTACCAAAAGTTGCTTCTAAGTTTAAGAATTGCACACTGGTAAAGTATGAACTGCATGAATATACATACCTTATCGGACCTTATTTGGACGGACATTAAATGAACGGACATAATTATGAACAGACATTAATATGATGGCTAGAAGGCATTCAAAATCATCAAAAATCCGAATTTTTTCACCTTTTTATTATGTTTTTTTTAATTTTAGTAAATGATTTTTAAATCCATTATTCATACAGTAAGCAATAAAAGCAGTCGTTAACTTTAAGCAGTAAAAATGTTAAAATATTTGTACATGATCGGTGTCTTATATCACATATCAACTTTATCAAATGGGTTCGAAATGTTCGAAATGGAAAAATTTTTGAAAAAAATTCAACGGACTTTAACTTTGACGGACCTTACATGAATGTACTTTATTTGAACGGACATTAAGATGAACGCTAGGGCCTCCAGCGTTCAAGTAATGTCCGTCCAAATAAGGTCCGATAAAGTAATAATTCTGCACAACGATGTGAATATTCAAATCCCAATATTTTCAAAAACACCTGACGCCATTTTTAACTACTACTAGTAACATGTTTTAATTCTTTAGAATCAAGATTTCGTTGTGAAATTCCACGACTGATTTAACTAAGAAATTCGATAACGCAATTCCACTAATTGTGTTGGTCTTCTTGGTTATTACCCAAAGGAGAACAGTAAGAACGGTCTTATCTAACAAATTTTAGATTAAATGGCTGCCAAGTTGCTTTTTCTCTCTCTCTCTCAAATGGATTAAATGCCAGAGATTTCCAATTTACCCCGCCCTGGCCTTGTTTACAGATTCTGATTTACTGCGTTCCAATTTACTGCAAACGCAGATTTACCGTGCTCCAATTAACTGCAAACGCAGATTTACCGCAAACCCCAATTTACCTCACTATCAAGCCAACGTTTTACCTCACTATCAAGCCAACGTTTATCAAGAAACTAATTTTATTCATTATTAACGTTTCTAAAAATAATAACAAATGGATTAACTCCAGAGTGTGTTGATAAAGCGGATGAAGATGGATTAGACTACAGGGGAACTGTATCTGTCACAGTATCAGGAAACGTCTGCCAGAGATGGGACTCTCAATCACCTAATGAACACAGTGCAACTGCTGAGAGGTAAGTTTTCTTGGTGCTTCTAAGGCACATTAGGTATAAACTAGTCTCACCCACAGGCGGCCACAATATGGCATAATCCAGATTTATATTTATTCTTATCCAGATTATTCGGAATTTGGAAGATGAGAGTTGAGACATGTACTCTATTTAATAGAGCGTCCTAAATCACTTTACACCCAAACTTCGAAATGTTTCTAAAAGGGCTCTCGACAGAAGCCAAATTTTTAGTTACGATTCACAACACTACCTACTTTAGGAAAATAGCTTATTACAAAATCATTTTCAGAAAACCTGATTCAGGACTGCAATGGAACTATTGCAGAAATCCAGACGGGTAAGTCTTCAATATCTGATATCCGCGGTAGTGTTCCATAATCATTTTTATCATGTCGAGCACAAGGTAGGGGCACAAACATTTATTGCAGATTTAAGTAAAATCTACAATAAAACTGCAATGAAGGGGCTTTGGAATATAAATGATCTGTGAAATTTCTTTTTACTTTTAAAAATTCTTCATTATAACATGTGTCGTCATTTTCTTCAGTTCAAATGGCGCCTGGTGTTATAATGGTGAGGGAACTGTGCCTCGATGGGAGTACTGTGATATACCTATATGCGCAAGTAAGCATTTTGATCTTCAAACTAAATCATAAATACTCATAATTTTATAGCAGAGATCATGTGTGGCGTGTGTTTATAATGTCTATACTCTCAGCTCCGAAATTCGAGAGGTTGCGTGTGGGTGCAGTTACTTCACTAATACGACAGAATTAAACGTCATTTGACAAACTGCGGGAAAAAATGTTTATGTGCTCCAATTGTAAAATTAACGCTGACCTTTTATTTGCCCAGTTGACGGAGGCTGGTCTGAATTCTCGGAATGGTCTGAGTGTTCGGTTGCATGCGGAGGAGGACGTCAAAGTAGAAGCCGAAGTTGTTCCAACCCTGCTCCAGAAAATGGAGGGGCTGATTGCGATGGAGGCGATCGGCAATCTATGGACTGCAATGCTGACCCTTGCCCCGTTGACGGAGGATGGTCTGACTTTTCTGATTGGTCTGAGTGCTCGGTTGCATGCGGAGGAGGACGTAAAAGTAGAAGCCGAAGTTGTTCCAACCCTGCTCCAGAAAATGGAGGGGCTGATTGCGATGGAGGCGATTTGCAATCTATGGACTGCAATGCTGACCCTTGCCCCGTTGACGGAGGATGGTCTGACTTTTCTGATTGGTCTGAGTGCTCGGTTGCATGCGGAGGAGGACGTAAAAGTAGAAGCCGAAGTTGTTCCAACCCTGCTCCACAAAATGGAGGGGCTGATTGCGATGGAGGCGATTTGCAATCTATGGACTGCAATGCTGACCCTTGCCCCCTCGTTGACGGTAAAGTATGAACTTCTTACTCACTTTTACTTGGAAAGGTCTCCTCTTAGTCGTTGGAGTGGCCTGCACCACACAGTAACTCCTTTTTCCGGTGTATTAGACCTCTCCAATGTACCCTGTTTATTGCTTGTTGTTCTGCATTTTTTATCGTGATGTTATCGACACCTGTGAAAATAGCTGCATCCTCCAAGACACATGAAAACCAGTTTTTGCGAGGTCTCATGCCTCTTGACCTTTTACCATGCTTTGGGATCCAGCGCAGAAGATATTTAGGTATTGTTTCTTCTGGAATTCTCACCACATGTCACCACCAAATCATCTGAGCCTAGCTGCTCGTACGAAAGTATCAACAGGGGCGATGAACTACAATATACATAATAATTATTCACAACGATGTGTAGTACTGCTTGTTTGGATCAGTGTTATTCTTCTTGTGCAGGTTCTGACTTCTGAACAAGAAGTTTATGCTATAATCGATCCTTCAATGAGCGGTCTGAACTAACGAAGCCTGAGCTTAATTTTGTCAAATGTTGCAGCTTTCTAGCTTGATGCTTGGCTGAGTATCTGATAGGCTGTACTGGAACTGGACAATGGACAGAGTAACCTTGACCGGCCGAGTAGACTTTTCCTTCAACTTGCCAAATCTACTGAGCTTCATTGCTGGTCTCAGTCCAACCTCCTCACAGTATGTCACCAACAGTTCTGTTGAAGTCTTCACTGGCATCTTCAGGCAAGCCAAAAAGTATAATATTGTTGCTCCTGTCCTCTGCTGCGCTTGCATTACAGACTTGAAGACTTCCTCAAACGTCTCATGGGTCAGTGTAATTTAGCTTTCAGGTTGACGAACAATGACGTTTTCCCGAACAGCGTCACTGTACTATTTTAACCATAGTTTGTTCTTGCGTCAATTTTTCGGGAAAAGTACGTAAAGTGCGTTTGAATTATTTCGTGCGTTAAAAGTGCGTTTAAGTACGTTTACCGTTGAATTCACCAGCATTTTCTGTAGACTGTAGAGACAAACAATTAAAACACATGAATAACGTTCTTAAAGATTACATAGCGAATAAATTACATTTATTTCTCTTGCATTTTATAGTTTCTTTTCAATATATTTAAGTAAGGAACTTCCAGTACAATCTCTTTTCACTGTCGCAAGTGCTTTACGCGTTGAAATGTTCCTCAAACATTTTTTGGCATTCCAAAAATAGCTACTGTGAGGCTCACCGATGACAGTTTATGTGAAATCTTGGAAATAACACTGTCTGATGTTTTGAACTGTGTATTCAAAAATGAAAAAACCGCAAATGGCCCAGCGAGGGTAGCTGTAAAAGTGCGTTTTACGTTTTTTCGTACGTTAAGTGCGTTATGTTTTAAAAGTACGTTAAGTGCGCACGAACCAACTATGATTTTAACTGACTCTCGGCCGTTTCTTTTACAGCGGTCTGCACTGCCTGCAGCTGTTTCAATAATTGTTTCGTGTAAGCTGATAACCCACTTCTGATTCTTAATTAACTGATTCTTGGTTGAGCTTAGTGCGATTTTCATCTGCTTTAACTTGTCATTTTGAAAGCGAACCAGATGAAATGATTCTGCCAGTAACATTGCTAACTTATAGTTATCTTCAAAAACCTCTTGCACAGAAAAGTAGTCATATCAACTGGTGGTTCACAACTGAGCTGATTCAGAGCTTTGGCCATCTAAGCTCCATCATTTATTAGACTCATCTTGAGTCGTTTAGCATGATTTTTAATACAAAATATTTGGATTCATTGTTAAAAATGACTGGAGTGACAAATAGCTATGTGGAGATGTTTAAGAAATTTGCATAAAATACTCACCACCACTTTTTTAGAAAATTCGGTTTAAAAAACCCAAAATTGCCATAGATCTGAGATTTTGCAGGCTGTTTAGACATTAGGAAAATTATAAAAAAATATTTATAACCCTTAATACTCATTGTGTATATCAGTACGTTTAAGTATAGAAACCAGACTTAGCTCCACAACCCAAAGGATGACCCAATAGCAGAGAATACTAAATCACGAAATGCGGGATTTTATTCGACTTTTATTTAAAGTTGTCACTTTGTCAAAAATCAAGCTTAAAAACGCTTAACTTGATGACGTCATCGTCCATCGAGTGATGATAATGACGTTAAAATATTTTTGCATGTAATTAAAACTTAAGTTTAGGGTAGACTACCTTAGTGATTATTTCTAAACTTGACATCGTACTATGCTATGATTTCCACTTTGTATAAAAGTATAAACAATGAGCCAGAATGCCAGATATTGGAAAGTATGTATTTTTAAAATCATCATGAGGCTGCCACGCCCTCCTTCAATGAATTAGAGGTCTCTGTGCGCTCTGATTCACAGATGGCCTTGTTTACAGATTCCAATTTACTGTGTTCCAATTTACCGCAAACGCAGATTTACCGTGCTCCAATTAACCGCAAACGCAGATTTACCGCAAACCCCAATTTACCTCACCATCAAGCCAACGTTTATCAAGAAACTAATTTCATTCATTATTAACGTTTCTAAAAATAATAACAAATGGATTAACTCCAGAGTGTGTTGATAAAGCGGATGAAGATGGATTAGACTACAGGGGAACTGTATCTGTCACAGTATCAGGAAACGTCTGCCAGAGATGGGACTCTCAATCACCTAATGTACACATTGCAACTGCTGAGAGGTAAGTTTTCTTGGTGCTTCTAAGGCACATTAGGTATAAACACGTCTCACCCACAGGCGGCCACAATATGGCATAATCCAGATTTATATTTATTCTTATCCAGATTATTCGGAATTTGGAAGATGAGAGTTGAGACATGTACTCTATTTAATAGAGCGTCCTAAATCACTTTACACCCAAACTTCGAGATGTTTCTAAAAGGGCTCTCGACAGAAGCCAAATTTTTAGTTACGATTCACAACACTACCTACTTTAGGAAAATAGCTTATTACAAAATCATTTTCAGAAAACCTGATTCAGGACTGCATGAGAACTATTGCAGAAATCCAGACGGGTAAGTCTTCTATATCTGATATATCTGCGGTAGTGTTCCATAATCATTTTTATCATGTCGAGCACAAGGTAGGGGCACAAACATTTATTGTAGATTTAAGTAAAATCTACAATAAAACTGCAATGAAGGGGCGTTGGAATATAAATTTCTTTTTACTTTTAGAAATTCTTCATTATAACATGTGTCGTCATTTTCTTCAGTGAAAATGGCGCCTGGTGTTATAATGGTGAGGGAACTGTGCCTCGATGGGAGTACTGTGATATACCTATATGCGCTGGTAAGCATTTTGAATTTGATCTTCAAACTAAATCATGTGTGGCGTGTGTCTATAATGTCTATACTCTCATTTCCAAAATTGAAAATTTGTGAGGTTGCGTGTGGGTGCAGTTACTTCACTAATACGACAAAATTAAAGTTAAACGTCATTTGACAAATTTTTGCGAAAAACAAAACGTTTTTCCAATTGTAAAATTAACGATGACCTTTTATTTGCCCAGTTGACGGAGGCTGGTCTGAATTCTCGGAATGGTCTGAGTGCTCGGTTGCATGCGGAGGAGGATCTCAAACTAGGAGCAGAAGTTGTTCCAACCCTGCTCCAGAAAATGGAGGGACTGATTGCGATGGAGGCGACTTGCAATCTCGAGACTGCAATGCTGACCCTTGCCCCATTGATGGAGGATGGTCTGACTTTTCTGATTGGTCTGAGTGCTCGGTTGCATGCGGAGGAGGATCTCAAAGTAGAAGTAGAAGTTGTTCCAACCCTGCTCCAGAAAATGGAGGGACTGATTGCGATGGAGACGATTCGCAATCTCAAGACTGCAATGCTGACCCTTGCTCCGTTGACGGAGGATGGTCTGCCTTTTCTGATTGGTCTGAGTGCTCGGTTGCATGCGGAGGAGGATCTCAAATTAGGAGCAGAAGTTGTTCCAACCCTGCTCCAGAAAATGGAGGGACTGATTGCGATGGAGACGATTTGCAATCTCGAGACTGCAATGCTGACCCTTGCCCCATTGATGGAGGATGGTCTGACTTTTCTGATTGGTCTGAGTGCTCGGTTGCATGCGGAGGAGGATCTCAAAGTAGAAGTAGAAGTTGTTCCAACCCTGCTCCAGAAAATGGAGGGACTGATTGCGATGGAGACGATTCGCAATCTCAAGACTGCAATGCTGACCCTTGCTCCGTTGACGGAGGATGGTCTGCCTTTTCTGATTGGTCTGAGTGCTCGGTTGCATGCGGAGGAGGATCTCAAAGTAGAAGTAGAAGTTGTTCCAATCCTGCCCCAGAAAATGGAGGGGCTGATTGCGATGGAGACGATTCGGAATCTCAAGACTGCAACGCTGACCCTTGCCTTTGGAGAAACGACAAGCGATGTGGTCCGGAGTTCCCCCTCGCGGATGGCTCTCCCAGTCAGTGTAACCCTGACCACCCAAAAGGCGCTGTTTGCTGTTCTAAGTGGGGACGGTGCTCATCCGTACCAAGATATTGTACTTGTCCTACCTGCGTCAACTACGGCCGAAGTAAGTGTTAACATGAAAGGCAGAAATTCTTTCTTGGTCGATTGAATAGTTGGTTAAGTAGTTATAGTGGAAGGCCGACACTTTTCAACCAACTTTTCAATCAACCGATTCGTAGACACATATGTACGCTAATTAGCTATACATTTTCTTGGTTACCTTTTAAAAAGTGACTCCTCTGGTCCGTTATACACGTCTTTAAAATACCCTCAATTATGATTGCAATAAGAACATTTTACTTCAGATCGCTTTTTGCTCCCATTACAAGAACATTTGAATTTAACAGTTATTTTTTATTTATGTTTTATTAACATCCCTTCACCTCTCAAGACTGCGACGGTGGCCCTTGCCCTACAGTTGACGGAGGCTGGTCTGAATTTGGGGAATGGTCTGAGTGCTCGGTTTCATGCGGAGGAGGATCTAAATTTAGAAGTAGAAGTTGTTCCAACCCTGCCCCAGAAAATGGAGGGGCTGATTGCGATGGAGACGATTTGGAATCTCAAGACTGCAACGCTGACCCTTGCCTTTGGAGAGACGACAATCGATGTGGTTCGAAGTTCCCCCTCGCGGATGGCTCAACCAGTCAGTGTAACCCTGACCACCCAAGAGGCGCTGTTTGCTGTTCTAAGTGGGGACGGTGCTCATCCCAAAAAAAATGGTGTACTTGTTCTACCTGCGTCAACTACGGCCGAAGTAAGTCTTAACATGAAAGGCAGAAACTCTTTCTTTACGTCGATTGAATGGTTGGTTAAGTATTTATAGTGGAAGACCGACACTTTTCAACCAACTTTTCAATCAACCGATGCGAAGGCCGAAGACACATGTTCGCTAATTAGCTATAAATTTGATTGGTAACCTTTTTAAAAGTGACTCCCCTGGTCCGTTATAAACGTCTTTAAAATATCCTCAATTATGATTGCAATAAGAACATTTTACTTCACATCTTTTTTTTCTCCCATTACAAGAACACTTGAATTTAACAGTTATTTTGTATTAATGTTTTATTAACATCCCTTCACCTCAGAATAGAATTTGAGAACATATCGTCGACTAGAAAAACAGCAGATGGGTGTAAAAGAATTTGAAGCATGATTTGGACAATTTCTCGTCGAGAGAGCACTAAGATTTGGATATTTGTAAAGAGGTCAACCATATTTGTTTGATATATGACAGTGCAATTCTGGGTTTGATCATTATTCAATACTGGAAGCTTATTTGAAGTTATTCGCTGTCATCTGTCACTGTCAGGAAATATGGATTTCATCCCCATTTATTATAGTAGTAGTACCCAGATCTGTACAATGCATTGAAAAAAATTGTAACAAACATTTTCGTTTTGTGTATTTTTATTACTATTAATTTGACCAAAACCCATAATAGGGTAGAGTGGACCGCTGCCAGTGTTTCTCTTTCCCAAACAAAAGTCAATGATATTAATTGGAATGACCGTCTGCAAATACAAAATGATACCAATTCATTTACAGTTGTAATAGATTAAGAAGAACTACCCGAAGGCAGCTGTACTCGGCAATAAAAATTCAATAAACTTCAGTTAATTCACTAACTACCACCCTTATATCCAGAAATACTAGGTATCGACCCGAACGCAACCCAAAAATATTTTTACAGCATGTGATTGATGTTATAGTAAGGGGAAAAGTGGCATTCCGTTGGATTTGAATGTTCACAAGGATTTCTCAACGGAATATGGTAGTTAAGACCCCTACGAACATAATTAGACTTGTTGCCAATTTTGTATCTCAACAGAAACACCACTTTTACCACTTTTTACCACCTTTGTACCACCTGTCTGGTTTGCCAAATATCTTTAGTTGTGAACGGCGTAAAAGGCTGCAAATTAACCTAGAATGTTTATCTTATCAAGGAGTAAAACTTTTGTGTGAAAAATTTTTACATTGGACAATCAGCTAATTGGATAATTACCAATTAGTTAATCACCAAAAAATTTGAAAATTTTTTATTGGCTCAAAATGATTGAAATCGTTTAAAACACGGAGAAATGTAGTTTTTAGAAAAACTTCAAAAATTTTTCACTTAAAAATTTTTTTCGAGACTTGGAAAAAAGTTTGAAAATTTAAAAATATTTTTTTCCGCCAAAAGTGATCGAATTGCATGAAACGTGGATAAAAATGCTTTGCAGAAAAACTTCGAAGATTTTGAGATAGGGGAATACTAAAATCATCAATATTTGAAGTTGGAGTTCAGTAAATCTCGACATATTTTAGTAATTAGGAATAGCTTAGCGGAAAGGGCTGAACCTGAAAAAGGTTAACCACACAATATTAGAGTTTCATAACTAATTACAATACAGCTTTATCAAATTCCACATAAAGAAACAGCACAAAAGGACCATTTAAGATCGAACCGATTTTACCTGCTGTACTATCATTTTATTGATTTCAATGATCAAAACCTCTGTACCGTCAATCTTGCCAATCTATACCGGGTATCTGAATGTACCGGACCTCTTATTTACCTCTATAATTAGACCCAGTTGTGCAAGAAATGCGATTTCTCACAGGGGTTTCTTTTAACTGTGCACTTTTTGTCACTCTCGCAACTCGCAAGAGGCCCGGTATTATAGGGGGGTATAGGAAGCGAGTGTAAATATACCTTCCATCATCCACTGTGCCCCCACTGTGGCTTTTTTTGTATTGTGAATGCGCATGCCGCTTCGTTTGCTATGCCAGATACCTCGAATAACCCCCATATGTCATTGCCAGGGTCGGGATAGAGCTGGAGATAGCATTGAAAAGTTGCTAGGAATAGCTAGATTTAGAGTAAACTGGTGGTAGCTGGGTGGTGCTAGCATGGATGTAGCAGAACGTAGCTACACGGGGTTTCATTGGAGTTGGTTATTTTAATGGCCAAAGAGTGCCGGAACTAAAGTTACTTAAGATTGCAGTTGAGGGGCAGTGTAAACCACGGTGTAGTCAGGGACACAGAGCTACAGTGCAGGAGTACTGCAAGTGCAAAAGAACAGTGCAAGTGATACAGTATGCAACAGTAAAACGCCGAAGAAGGAGATAAGATTGTGGCTGCAGAGGAGGAGAGGAGCTGGAACCTGATTTTGTTTGGGTTGAAAGAAGAGTAGGAAGAAGAGTTTCCTGCTCTGGTAACTGCATTTTTGGAATAGGTGGGGTGAGAACTTATTTTCAAGCGACAAGGGTGGGCTGGAAGCAACCAGGTACAGCTATCCGACCTATTAAGATCACCGTCCTGAGCTTAACAGCCTTTCATCAGAATCTGATGAAAACAGAGAGACTGACCCACCCTTTTTAGATTGATTGATCAAAGTGAGTCTCTTTAGCCCTCTTCTTCTTTAGAGCTTTAGGTTAGTGATCAAACTCTTCGCTACTCGCTCTTCACTGGATCTATCAGGACAGATTCACATCTTTTTAGGTCTCAACCAGCCTTAGTTTTCCTGTTTTCATCATGTAGTACGTTCTGCTACCTCCATTTTAGCACCACCCAGCTTCCATCAGTTCACTCTAAGTCTAGCTTCGTCGGCGTTTTACTGTTGCAGACTGTATCACTTGCACTGTTCTATTGCACTTGCAGTACTCCTGCACTGTAGCTCTGTGTCCCTGACTACACCGTGGTTTACACTGCCCCTCAACTGCAATCTTAAGTAACTTAAGTTCCGGCACTCTTTGGCCATTAAAATAACCAACTCCAATGAAACCCCGTGTAGCTACGTTCTGCTACATCCATGCTAGCACCACCCAGCTACCACCAGTTTACTCTAAATCTAGCTATTTCTAGCAACTTTTCAATGCTATCTCCAGCTCTATCCCGACCCTGGCAATGACATATGGGGGATATTCGAGGTATCTGGCATAGCAAACGAAGCGGCATGCGCATTCACAATACAAAAAAGCCACAGTGGGGGCACAGTGGATGATGGAAGGTATATTTACACTCACTTCCTATGTAGCACACTTAGTGTACCTAGCTGCTCGAACTTAGTGGTAGGATAACAAAGTGAAAGACTTTAAATTTTGGGGTTTTGTAGAAAAGTAAAGATTGTAACGTAAATAAAAATGGTAAACTCCAGAACTGATCTCTCTCTAAACTAAACATGTGAGTGATAAATTTAAACGTAGAATTCTGTCTCGTCTAAGGTGGGGTGGAATTTTAAGAGTTGACGGATGAATCGTGACAAAAACTATCAACAAGGTGAACTAAAACGGAAGATCATAAATGGGATGGTGTGTCACGTGATTAACTAAGATAGGCCTGATTGGATGGCTAATTAAGTGAGTGAAGATTATTGGATTAAGTGGCATGCTTTCTACTGTGCTTGATGACAACCTATGAAACTAACTGATGAGAAAATGTAACTTATATGAATTCAGGTGCTGCCGTAGTGACTATTAAACTATTTAATTTGAGGTGTGAGTGAAAAATACTAATTTGCGCACAAATAAAATATCAACCATATAAATATTTCTGACCAGTAACTTTTTTAGGAATTATGCCCAGATTATAAAGATAATATAAAGCCTACACACTGCACACCTATACCCCCCTATAATACCGGGCCTCTTGCGAGTTGCGAGAGTGACAAAAAGTGCACAGTTAAAAGAAACCCCTGTGAGAAATCGCATTTCTTGCACAACTGGGTCTAATTATAGAGGTAAATAAGAGGTCCGGTACATTCAGATACCCGGTATAGATTGGCAAGATTGACGGTACAGAGGTTTTGATCATTGAAATCAATAAAATGATAGTACAGCAGGTAAAATCGGTTCGATCTTAAATGGTCCTTTTGTGCTGTTTCTTTATGTGGAATTTGTGGAATAAAAGCTGTATTGTAATTAGTTATGAAACTCTAATATTGTGTGGTTAACCTTTTTCAGGTTCGGCCCTTTCCGCTAAGCTATTCCTAATTACTAAAATATGTCGAGATTTACTGAACTCCAACTTCAAATATTGATGATTTTAGTATTCCCAAATCTCAAAATCTTCGAAGTTTTTCTGCAAAGCATTTTTATCCACGTTTCATGCAATTCGATCACTTTTGGCGGAATAAAAATATTTTTAAATTTTCAAACTTTTTTCCAAGTCTCGAAAAAAATTTTTAAGTGAAAAATTTTTGAAGTTTTTCTAAAAACTACATTTCTCCGTGTTTTAAACGATTTCAATCATTTTGAGCCAATAAAAAATTTTCAAATTTTTTGGTGATTAACTAATTGGTAATTATACAATTAGCTGATTGTCCAATGTAAAAATTTTTCACACAAAAGTTTTACTCCTTGATAAGATAAACATTCTAGGTTAATTTGCAGCCTTTTACGACGTTCACAACTAAAGATATTTGGCAAACCAGACAGGTGGTACAAAGGTGGTAAAAAGTGGTAAAAGTGGTGTTTCTGTTGAGATACAAAATTGGCAACAAGTCTAATTATGTTCGTAGGGGTCTTAACTACCATATTCCGTTGAGAAATCCTTGTGAACATTCAAATCCAACGGAACCCTTAAATCGACCACTTTTCCCCTTACTATTAATTAATTACATTTTAATTAATTGCAACTTTTTACAATTTAGCAGAAATTTAGAAGAAATTTAAACTTCCTGCAAAATTTCTCAGATATTTCCTCGTCTGACTCTAATTTAATGTTTGTTGCAATTAAGCACCACATTAAATTTCAGCAAACAAAATTCTGTAAAATGTGAGTGCATCGAAATTTTGATAACACGATAAGAATAAAATTAATTTCAATTCAGTCCAGGAAAATAACATATTCTTTGACCTCTGTTACTTAAATATGTAATACCACATAACCACAGGTCTGGAAATAAACCTGGCATTCTCAAGACTTCGCATGGCGTTAAAACACGTGCAACCCGGTTAACGGGGAAAAAACAATTTCTCTGATAAGTACTTAAATTTGGAATTGAAATGATTAATAAAGAGATTTCAGAATTTTAAAAATAACAAGAATTGCGCCTGTTGTTTCGTTTAGGCGGTCGCTAGATTTTCATTCACTATAAGTTATAACTATAATTATAAGCTCTAATCAGCTCACTTCATAATAATAATATTAATAAATTTGACCAAAACCCATAATCATGGGTTGTGGACCGCTGCTAGTGCTACTGCTAGTGTCTCTCTTTCCCAAACAAAAGGAAATGATATTAATTTGAATTACCGGCCGCAAATGCAAAATGATACCAAGAATAAAATCGGTCGCTCGCTTTTTCCATTCATTCACGGCTTACGAATAATTCGGGTAGTTCTTCTTAATCTATTACAATTGTAACCCCCTATATTGTTTTTCAGGCATTTAGACTCATCGAA